CAACATATGTCCACAACTCAGCCCAAAACTTCTGTGAGACAGTTTGTTCGGTGAATTTTGCCGCGTTTTGCAAACTTTCTCCCCATATTTGTTAAGTGAAATCACTGAAGTTGTTAAGTTAGTAACACACTGGTGAAGTGAATCTTGCTTCCCCCTTGATTGTATGTATGGTATGTGTTTGTTTGTTTATTTATTTATTTATTTATTTATTCGATATTGCTGCCTATTCGCCCATGGCGACTCGAGGCGGCTTACAGAATGTAAAACCATATTTAAAACTAAAACTAAAAAAACAATAAAAACTAACAAAAAGAATCAAATAAATTAATAAAGTACAATAGAACAAAATCTAGGGAGGGGGAAAATCACCCCCCAACTCCCACACATCCTGCCTCGACGATAGCAGATCCCACGAGCCATTTGATGGGCTCCATCCCGCTCTGGGTTCCCCAGGCCCGCTGGCAGAACCAGGTCTTCAGCGCCTTCTGGAAGAGTGTTAGTGAGGGGGCCATTCTAATCTCGGGGGGGGGGGGGGGTGTGATGTTCCAGAGAGAGGGAGCCACCACGGAGAAGGCCCTTCTTCTGGGTCCCACCGGGTGTATCTCCCTCAAGGGTGGGACCCGCAACATTCCCTACCTCCCCGCTCTGATGGGTCGAGTAGATGTGACCGGCAAGAGACGGTCCCTCGGACAACCCTTTTGCTTGTCGGAAGGTCGCCAAGAAGAGTCACGTGACCACAGGGCACCGCAACCGTCATAAATACGAGTCAGTTGCCAAGCGTCTGGATTTCAATCACCTGATGATGCAACGGTCCCAAGTGTGAGAAACAGTCCTAAGTCTCTTTTTTTCCAGTGCTGTTGTAACTTCGGTCATTAAAGGGTTGTATGTTTAGGGCTGGCTGTATTCCTAGGTGGGATGGCCAGGCCACTGATACGTGGAAGGTGTGCAAAACCTCTCGGCCTCCAGTGGGGTGGGACTGCAGAAGCTCCGTGAAGTGGCACAGCCCATGTGCCCTCTTGGGCTCAATCTCGTGAGACATCACAGCTGTCCACACAGTGGTGGGATTCAAATTTTTTTTTTTTTTACTACCGGTTCTGTGAGCGTGGCTTGTTGGGCGTGGCAGGGGAAGGGTATACTGCAAAATCCCCCTTCCCTCCCCACCCCACTAACCTGCTTTCCAGCTCCGTTCTCCTGTGCGGGGCAACCAAGGAAGACCCAGCCGATCAGCTGGGACTCAACGGGAGGCAGAGAAGAGATGGGGTTGGCGGGGCCAGTCAGAGGCAGGATTGGCCGGTTCGCCAAACTACTCAAAATTTCCACTACTGGTTCTCCAGAACCAGTCAGAACCAGTTAAATACCACCTCTGCGTCCACAAAGAAAGAATTCATCCCTTTCCAGGAGCTATTACTGAAAATTTCGATCTTGGTTTGCTCTTCAAACAGACCGTTTATTTTTTATAAACAGCGAACAGACCTTATAAGTATATTTAAGATCGATCCAGGAAACGTCCAGCGATGCCTCTGTATGCAGTTAATGTAGCATACATAATTCATAAGTGTGATTTCTCATTTTCTGTATGGTTTTTGAGGCCCGCTTAACCTTGGGGCCACCCTTTTAAAAGGTATCCCTTTGGCCTCTATAGCTGGAATGAAAAAAAAAAAAAGCTAAAATTAAATGTTTGTCTTCAAATGAAGTGACATCTGATTTTCAGATGCTCAGGACTTTGTTACCAGCACCTGGAGGTGGCACATTTTTTTATGTTGCATAAAGAACCACAAAAAGGACAAACATAAACCCCTTTTAGTTAGAAGAAATATTTGCAGTACAGTGCTTTTAAATTCTCTATATCAGAGGTCTCCAAACTTGAACCTTTAAGACCTGTGGACTTCAACTCCCAGAATTCCCCAGCTAGCTATGCTGGCTAGAAAATTCTGGGAGTTGAAGTCCACAAGTTGCCAAGTTTGGGGACCACTGCTCTATATGACTGTAGAGTAGGAATCTTGGACGTGCAAGTTTTATTTGGCTTAAAGCCGGTAACCTACGAGTTGCCTTAAGCATTATTTGATATATCTACAGCTATAATAGATACGCGAACAGGAATACAGGGAGTCCTTGACTTACAACGGTTTGTTTACTGACCAAAGTTACAAGGGCACTGAAAAAAAGCGGCCTATGACCCGTTTTCACACGTAGAACCGTTGTAGCATGTTGTAACCATGTGGTCATGTAATCTGTCATGCCCCTGTTGGAGACTGACTCTGAGGGAGAGGAGGAACAGCCAACAGGGAGTGGAAGTGTTGGCTCCGGAGGTTGTGGAGGAGGCTGGGGAAGGGCAGAGGCCGGCTGGGCAGTCAGAGGGAAGACCCAGGCGCATCCCCTCTTCATCCTAGGGCACGCAGGGAGGAGCGGATAAGGGAGAAATGTGAATGGCGTGGTCTACGGGGGAGGAAAGGGCCTTGATCCTCTTCATGGGCTGCAGCTGTGAGAACTGGTTAAAAGGACGGACATGCGTATGGGCCAGTGCTGGAAACAAAGCATGGAAATATATCTAGTCTGTCGTTCCTCTCTGAGTTTGGCGTCCTTCCCAGTGTGTGTTCCGATATCTGTGGATGTTTTCAAGCCCTTATCTTGCCTGGTTCCCTTAATTGCTTCAGTGTGGTTTGTGTTGTTTTTACTCTTTATAATGTAAACGGCATTTCCTCCTTCTTGTAACTGCTTGTGGGGGAGTTTTTTGTCTCCAGTCAAGGATATTTGTAGTTTTGAAGCAAAATGAAGGAATAAAAGGGGCTTCACCTGTTTTTGTGACTGAGTTTATTTTGTATCCCACCCTGGGTCACCAACACATTATCCAAATTCAGACACTTGGCAACTGACTCGTGTTTACGATGGTCGTAGTGTCCCTGCGTTACGTGATCCCCTTTGAGACCTCTTGACAAAGCCACTGGGAGAGCCGGATTCTCTGAACAACAGTTGAATTGAACAGCCATAGTGATCCACTTAACAACTGTGGCAAGAAAGGTCGTAAAAAGGGGCAAAACTCCCTTAACAAATGTTTCGCTTAGCAGCAATGTTACACTCGGTTGGGATCGTAAGTGGAAGACGATCTGCATATGCAGCAACTGAGTTCCGAATGGGAGCTTCGTTTTCTAAGAGTGGCCTCTTGTTTTGCAGACTCTCTTAAGGACTTTCTGGGCTCTTCCTTCTCAGCAAGCAGTACAATCTTAAATGTTTTGAATCCAAAGATGTGTGACTCCCATTTTCATTCACATTGATTGGAAAAGGGAGTCGGCGGTGAAACCTTACTAGCCAGTCTCCCGGCTCACCGTCGCTGTTTTCCCCTTGTGCTAATTAATGGAGGAGTTGATTATTGTAAATGCAGGATTTCAGCCATCTTTCTCAGAGGGGTAGAATTATCTGGACAACATTGGGACACCCCAACAAATATAACATCCTTACAGTTGCTCCTAAAGCCATGGGAACAGCTGGGTGGGATCAAAATTCAGATAGGCCAGCATTGCTCTTCCCTACCAGATGTCATTGGAAACCAGTAACGTATGTGCATTACTTTCCCACCTGCTCAAGTTTCTCTTCCTGGAGGTATAAATAGCTTCTATAACAGCATAGCGGACTTCAACACCCAGAATTCCCCAGCTAGTATGGCTAGCTGGGGAGTTCTGGGAATTGAAGTCCACCCATCTTAAAGTTACCAAGGGAGAGAAACCACTGGATTGGATGGTCTTTCTGGCCTTTCCAACTCTTTATCGTTCATGGCTGGCCGGGAAATTCTGGGAGTTGAAGTCTACCCATCATCATCTTCAAGTTGGCAAGGTTGAGAAACAACTAAACTAAGCGATCCTTCTGGTCCCTTCCAACTCTTATTATTCATAGCTGGCCGGGGAATTCTGGGAGTTGAAGTCCGCCCCTTTTAACAGTACCAAGGGTGACAAACACAACTATTTTAGAACCTGTTTTAGATTCTTCTCTCCCAGGCTTTAGGACCGTGATAGGGAAGAGATTTGGTCAAAGCGCTAACATTGACACCGTTCGTCTCTTGTCTTACCAACGCCGGCATTTGAAACAGACACTAAACAAATACCGTGAAAACCAAATCCTGCTTTTGTGAAGGGCCTGAAGCCCCAGTGAACGGAGGCCTTGAATAGAAGCTCACTCACATCCTGGCCTGGACAAAAGACCTCCTCTCGGTCTGATTTAGCTTTAGATTTTGTCAGAAGCTTGCTTCCCCCCCCGCCCCTGACACAGTGGCTTTCAAAATGTGCTGATAAGCCCACTCTGTATACCCAGCCCAGTGCTAGCAAAACACTCGACCGCTTCGTTCTCAGGAAGCAGAACCCTATTTGAAGCCATTTGCCTTTTGCTGATGTGTTCAGTGGAGCTGGGAGCTAGTCTGGCATTATCAAAGCCCCGAGGCCTCTTTTAAAAATACTCCAGAGACCCGTAAAGTCCACCTCTTCACAGGTTCAAGGAGACATCTGGGGAGGTCCCTGTTATTCTGTATATTTCCCACAATGGAAGAGGGGATGGTGAAGATAACAGAATGGGCAGAGGTGGCAAAAAATGACTATTGTGTGGGTGCCAGCGATGGGGCTCCCAAAGCCCCTTGAAGAGGGGGGGCAGTGGTGGGATTCAATTTTTTTTTACTACCGGTTCTGTGGGCGTGGTTTGGTGGGCGTGGCAGGGGAAGGATACTGCAAAATCCCCATTCCCACCCCACCAACCTGATTTCCAGCTCCGTTCTCCTGTGCAGGGCAACCAAAGAAGACCCAGCCGATCAGCTGAGACTCGATGGGAGGCGGAGAAATAGATGGGGTTGGCGGGGCCAGTCAGAGGTGGGATTGGCCGGTTCTTTGAACTACTCAAAATTTCCGCTACTGGTTCTCCAGAACTGGCCAGAACCTGCTGAATGTACCACCTCGGGGGCGGGGGGGGGAGGCCTCTTCCGGCAGTCCCGCTGAGTAACTCTTCCTCTTCCCTCCCGACAGGGTCTCCTTATCTGCCACGGACTGTTACATCGTTCACGAAATCTACAACGGGGAGAACGCCCAGGACCAGTTCGAATACGAGCTGGAGCAAGCGCTGGAAGCCCAGTACAAGTACATCGTGATCGAGCCCACCCGCATCGGGGACGAGACGGCCCGTTGGATCACGGTGGGGAACTGCCTGCACAAGACGGCGGTGCTGGCTGGCACGGCCTGCCTCTTCGCCCCTCTGGCTCTCCCGCTGGATTATTCCCACTACATCTCTCTGCCGGCCGGGGTGCTCAGCGTGGCCTGCTGCACCCTCTACGGGATCTCCTGGCAGTTTGACCCCTGCTGCAAGTACCAGGTGGAGTACAACGCCTACAAACTCTCCCGCCTGCCTCTACACACGCTGACCACGTCCACCCCGGTCGTGTTAGTGAGGAAAGACGATCTGCACAGGAAGAGGCTGCACAACACGATAGCACTGGCGGCCCTGGTGTACTGTGTAAAGAAGGTGTACGAACTCTACGCCGTATGATTGCGGCCGAGAAAAGTGGAGGGGGGGGGAGGGAGGGAGGAGGAGCAACCCATCCGAACCGATAAAAGGTGTATTAAGGACTCCTACAGGAACAATTCAACTTTTTTTCCCCCCCCTTCTTGAAGTGGTGCCTGGAAAGCCGTTTTCGGTTTACCCGATTATTATTATTATTATTATTGTTTCGTTATTTTTTTTTTCTTTTTCCTTTCGAAAGAAACAATCACACTGACGTCACATCAAGGGATTTCTGTTCTTTTTATTTTTTAATCCCTCCGACCTAGATCTGCGGTGGGGTGGAACAGCGTGAGCGATGAAGACAACAGTCGGATCTCGGTGCAAGCAAAACAATACAAGGGGTTGGGTGGGTAGGTTTTGGTTCCTCCAGCCATCCTCTCCTCCCCCACCCTTGGGGAGGGGAGGGGTGAGGAAAGACACATCCCTTAGGCATCTTGTTTAATTGTATTCTACAGAACCAGCTCAAAGATATCACTGACCATTCATTAAAGGATGAGAATTTGAAGAGGTCCTTTTTTTCTTTTGGAACGAAAAACATCTAGTAGGAAATTCTTCCAGTGGGGTGGAGCCTAAAGGATGGATTGGGTGAAAGCTCACTTGTCAGTAGACTTATCTACAACAGGGGTATCCAACTGAAGGCGGGTGGGCAGGATCCAACCCACGGGGGGGTTAGATCTGGCCCACAGGACTGCCCTGGAAACAGCGAAAAGGTCAACTCATAAAATATTTCTATGGTCTTTTCAGAATTGCCAACAGAAAGGGAGGGGGGGTAACTGCCAGAGCCCTGACAGAAGGACCGGTCCACAGTGCCTCTACCAGCAAGAGGGGTTGCAGGAGGTCATCGCAGCCGAAAACTGAGCTTGGGAACCTGTTTTTGCTAGCAGAGCCCTTGGCCTGCCACAGGCGCCCCCTGCCACGAGTGCCACCGAGCTGGCCACGCCCAACCCGGCCCACCGAGGTCAAACACAACCCTGATGTGGTCCTCCATGGAATCGAGTTTGACACCACTACAACAAAAGCTTTGTACCTTTGCCAATAGCAGTGGTTGGGTTCGCAAAACGTTGAGGTTCAGTTGCTAAGTCGTGTCTTGACTCTAATGCATTCGTCTTGCTGACGATTTTAACTGGGGCTTATTTTTTGGGGGGAGGTAGGGCTTACATTACGAGAATCCTGAAAAAATCATGCTAGGGCTTATTTTTTTTTGGTTGGGTCTTTATTTTCGGGGAAAACCCGGTACCTATGGGGAATGACAGTATTATTATTTTTTTCCCTCTCCTGCTTACAAATTAAGTGTAAAAGATAAGCCGGAAAGACCAGGTAAGAAAAAAAAAAAAAGAAGTCAAAATATCCAGCTATTCATGGCACGTTGTCTTCTGAAGATCCACTTGAGTGGGAAGCAGCTTCCGTTCTCGAAATCTGATGTGAATCGGCTAAGCATCGACCCTCTATACATAAAATGCTTTGCGGGGCTCGGAAAGTTTTAGTTGGCCATGCTTCTTGTCCCCAGACCTAAATCCACCTCTTAGCGCAAGCAAAAGATGAAACCTTCGGCTCCTGCAGTCCTCCACCCATGTAAGCTACGACACCTAGCGGCTTCCGTCCACCCTTTGACCTGGTGAAGTCTTACCGGGGTGGATGGGTTAGGATTCCTTCTCTTTCTTCTCCTTGCGTGCTCTCCTGGCCATGAGGGTGAAGAAGACAGTGGGGCAGAGCGGCCGGAGATAAACTGCCAGGGCGGGCAGGAAACCCACCCCCGGCAGAACTTCCTTTCTCCTCTCTCCCACGGCGTCCAGGACCAGTCGAGCCACATCCGCGGCTGTCTTGCCTTCCCTGGTGCTCTTGTCCATCACTGCATTGTATGGAAAGCAAGCAAGCATTTTTTTTGAAGGAGCAGGGAGCTTCCTCGCTACCCCAGTCAAGCCATCGCAAAGACAAGCTAGTCCTTGACCCAACGGTGCTTTTTTTTTCTTTTTTTTTTCAGGAGGCAACCGGGCTTCCTTTTCTTTGGAAGATGTTTCTCTTCTTATCCCAGAGGCTTCTTCAGCTCTGACCGGATGGTGGGGGAATGGAAGGGTTTATATTCCTTGCAGACCGAGCTGGTCATTTGCATCCTTTTAGCAAAAACACAAGGAAGTCCAGTTGCCTCCAGAAAAATCACCTTTGGAACAACCACGACCTGGAGGACCGAGAATCTCTTCATACTTTTAGCTATAGAGTTTGGGATGAACACCTTTGGAATGTGTGGGAGTAAGGATGGATTTCCGGGGGGGGGGGGGGGAATAAATTGCAGACTACAGGGACCAGGAGCACTACTCAGGTAACCCTGAGGATACAGATGAACCTCCAAGTGGCCTCAACGACCCTCTTAAAAGGATGCAAATGACCAGCTTTTTGCAAGGAGTCTAAATCCTTCCGTTTCCCCACCATCCAGTCAGAGCGGAAGAAGCTTCTTGGGTGAGAGGCGAAACGTCTTCAAAAGAAAAAACAAAACAAGTCCAGTTGCCTCCTGAAAAAAGCACCTTTTGGACAACGATGATCTGTATGACTGAGAATCTCTACAGACTTTTAGCTAGTCCTCGACTTAACTGTTTAGTGACCATTCAAGGCTACGACGGTGCTGAAATAAAGTGATTTACGCCCGTTCTTCTCACAGCTGTTACAAGCATCCGTGTAGTCACACCATCGAAACTCAGACGCTGGCTCATGTTTATGACGGCTGCAGTGTCCTGGGGGGTCACAAGATCCTCTGTGACCTCCAGCCAAGTCAGTGGGGAAGCCAGGCTCACTTAAGTCTGGTACTAACTTAATAGCTGCAGTGATTCCCTTAACAACGGCGGCGAAAAGGCCGTAAAATGGGACAGAATTCACTTTTAACTGCCTCGTTTAGCCACGGAACGTTGGGCTTCCGTTGTGCTCGTAAATCGAGGGTGAGCTGTACCACCTCCTGCTGGGAAGCCAGGGCTCATGAATAAGTCTTTAGCCCTCCCAAGTTCCCTGCCTCATTGTAATTTTTATTGCTTTTCGTTATAAAGGAAGCAGCTGTTCTGCGAAGGAAGAGGACAGCTTCAAACCTCGTCTGCGTTGCCAGCAGTGCCCAAGGCTTAGGAAGACCCCAGATGCGTTGTTGGATGTAGACATAGGTAGCTCAACGGCCTCTTTGCGGGGTGGGGGGTTGCTAAATGCCTTTTCATGATTGGCCCTACCTGCCATTCTGAGGAGTGGTCATAAAGTCTCTGCCAAATTCCAGATGGGCCCACCAGCCCTCCCCCCCCCCAGCTGAGGACACCGCCCCCCCCGCCGTAAGCCCTCCAGCATCCCTACATCCGTTAAGTCTCTCCGGTTCGATGGTTTTGACGATCTAATTACTGGTCTTGAGGGGCCTGGATAAATGAATACACAAACTGCCGACTGGATTGGCAGGCACTTGGCACCCTGAGAGGAGAACCGATCCTCACCTCCATACTGGGATCCGTCTGACGTGACGGCGTTGAGCGAAAGGTTGGTCTGGATGTAGCCGGGACACACAACCGTCACTTCGATGTTGAATCGCTCCACTTCGGCTCGCAAACAGTCAAAAAAAGCCTGGGTTGCGTGCTTGGAGGCCGCATCTGAAGAGGGCGAAGGAGACAGGAAGGGTAGTGTCAACTCATAAAATATGGCTATGGTCTTTTTAGAGTTGCCAACAGAAAGGGAGGGGGAAGCAGTGGGCAGCCTGCATTCCATAAATGTTTTCAAAGATAGTTTCTAAGTGACCGAAGTTTCTGCCGCGCAAAATTCTAACTGGAGAGCATGATTGATGACTCTGGGCTATGGATGTGTCCCATTGGAGAATATGAATTACAATACACGCAGAGGTTGGGGGGAAAACCAGGGTCAAGGATGACAATGAATGATATGTCTCAGAGTCGGCTATACCCAGGCAGTGCTGGCCTGTTTACTCCTAATAAATCTTTTAAGTTTTGAAAATTCGGCTAGAGATTCACAATTTAAATGTGGGTAACTACTGGACCCGATAGGTAGATCACCAACCTACTAGTGCAGGGGTCAGCAACCTTAAATACTCGAAAGAGCCACAAAGGTCCTAACCGGAAGCCCCCTGTTCAATTCTGGAGCTGATTGGAAGTCCAGTTCCCCCGCTATAGAGTTTCCTCCTAGCACGGCGTCCTTTTTCCTCTACCTGTCCTAACTGAAAGCCCTATCAATTGTGAAGCCGACCAGCGACGGAGCCACAGCAGAGGGATGAAAGAGCCACATGTGGCTCCAGAGCTGCGGGTTGCCGACTCCTACAGCAGGGGATGAGCAATTAATTTCCCCAAAGGGAGCTACCTGAGAAACTGGGTCTGTTGTGAAGGGCCAAACCAATAGGCTGGATTTAATTATGATCAATGGCGTGCATGTTGTACGCTGACCATGTGACAGCTGAATTTTAAACCTGTAAATTTTAAAGCTTTAAAATTTAGCTGTCACTACATTTCCCCAAAAATAAGACCGGGTCTTGTATTAATTTTTGCTCCAAAAGACACATTAAGGCTTATTTTCTGATGAGGTCTTATTTGGGGGGAAATACGGTACTAAATGCATCCTTGTGGCCAATGATCTCACCTGGGGCTTATTTTTGGGGTAGGGCTTATGAACATCCTGAAAAAAATCATGCAAATATGCAAGTAGCCCGGTTTCGAATTCCAGAAAGGCCAAGGCTAGCTGACGAGAGCGAAATAGCTTGAAATAGATCTATACGCTAGTCTCCCCTTTATTTCTTGGTTGGTAAACATAAAATTCAACAGCATCCAACAGGAAGTTTTTCCTAAACCACCGCTGTTGCCTCTGTGTTTCAAATTCGCTGTACAGCTGCCCAACTCCGAAGCATTAAACCAGCGAATTAAAGACATGAAAACTGCACAGGTTAAAAAATCCGGTCCTTAAAAGCAACACAAACCACAAGAGGCCGCAAAGGAAGGCAGGACTTACATGCCGACCGGAAGGGAATGCTGATTTTGCCTTGCACGCTGCTGATGGTTACGATGTGCCCTTTCCTCCTCTTGATCATGGCAGGAAGGAGGGCTGGGATGGAAGAGGGGAGGAAAATTAAAGACTTTCAAACACGACCATAACAACGGCACGTAGTCCTCGGCTTACGGCCACCACCAGGAGCAGCATTTCCATTGCTGAGCGAGGCAATCATTTGAGTTGCCTGATTTTACGCACTTTGGCGCACGGTTGTCGAAGTGAACCACACAGTCGTTAAGCGAATCCTGCTCCCCTCCCCCCTCCATTGACTGCAGGTTGAAAGTCAGCTGGGAAGGTCCCAAAATGGGGATCATGTGATCGGCTGTCATAAATACATCAATGCAAATATAAATCTGAGCCGCGGGGATGCAGTGGTTAGAATGCAGTGTTGCAGGCTAATTCTGCCCACTACCAGCAGTTTGATTCTGACCAGCTCAAGGTTGACTCAGCCTTCCATCCTTCCGAGGTTGGTAGAATGAGGAGCCAGATTGTTGGGGGCAAATAGGCTGACTCTGTAAACCACTTAGCTGTAGAGCACTGGGAAGCGGTATATAAGTCCAAGTGCTATTGATATTGATATTGCTTCTTTCCTTTTTGTTCTCTCCTTCCCTTTTCTCCTTCCTTCCATCCTTCCTCCCCTCCCTCCCTCCCCATGGTGGCACAGTGGTTAGAATGCAGTATTGCAGGCTAACTGCCCACTGCCAGGAGTTTGATCCTAACCGGCTGCAGGTCGACTCAGCTTTCCATCCTTTCCGAGGTAGGTAAAATGGGGACCCAGATTGTTGGGGGCAATAGGGTGACTCTGTAAACCGCTGAGAGAGGCCTGTAAAGCACTGTAAAGTGGCATGTAAGTCTAAGTGCTATTGCCCTTCCTTCCTTCCTTCGTGTGCAGTGGTTAGAATGCAGTATTGCAGGCTAACTCTACTGATTGCCAGCAGTTTGATCCTGACTGGCTTAAGGTTGACTCAGCCTTCTATCCTTCCAAGGTGGGTAAAATGAGGACCCAGATTGTTGGGGGCAAGAGGCTGACTCTGTAAACCGCTGAGAGAGGGCTGTAAAAGCACTGTGAAGCAGTATATAAGACTAAGCGCTATTGCTATACGTACCAATATGACGGCTGCAACCATCACAGATGCATGCTGTTTGCCAAGCATCCAAAGCAATGCTTGTAAATCCAGGGCTACCTGCACTTTGTTGCTATTCTATTCTTCCCATTATTTATTAATTCATGATTTTGCTACATTGCTCAGGTCTGATTTTTTATTTTTATTTTGGTCCTTTCTCACCTGGAACTGGAATCAGTGTCTCGAGCCTTACCTTTCGTCAAAGCAACCGGACCGAAATAATTGGTTTCCATCACTTTCCGGTCTACCTCGATCACCGTCTCTGTTATGGTGCCCCGGTAGCTGATGCCAGCATTGTTAATTAAAATATCGACATGATCCACACAGCTCAAAATCTCCTTCGCAGCGCTAACTACTGCATTGATATCCGAGAGATCAAAAACCACAACGTGATGTTTGTGAGCCTATGAAAATTGAGAAGGGAAAAAAATGAAAAACCCACAACTTTTTGCACCCAAATCTTTTCAGCTACAGGATTTGCAGCCTAGCCTTATATTGTTCAGGTAGTTCTCAGCTTATGACCATAACAAGTCCAAAATTTGCATTGTTAAATGAGTTGAGCAAATGCTAAACTCCATTGCTAAATGCTAAACTCCGTTGCTAAATGCTAAACTCATTGGTGAAGTGAGTTTTGGCGCATTTTTCGGCCTTTCTTGCCACAGTTCTTAAGTGAATCGCTGCAGCTCTTAAGTTAGTAACACGGGATTGTTAAGTGAATCTGACTTTTATTGTCAGGTCGTAAAAAGGTGATCAGTGACCCTGGGGCACTGTAACTGTTATAAACATGAATTGGTTGCCAACATCTGAATTTTGATCAAGTGGCCATGGGGATGCCACAACAGTCATAAGTATGAAAAACAACCATAAGTCACTTTTTACAGTGCCGTAACTTTAAACAGTCACTAAACTAACTGTTGTAAGTTGAGCACTTACCTGCATCATCTTTCTCTTTTGCAAGCTTCTCCAAAGGTATTATCAGGAAGGAGAGAAACTCAAATTTAATTCTCTCTGTACCAGAGCTGTGTATACACCGCTACCGTTCCAAAGGTGATTATTCAAAAGGCAACTGGACTTTCTGGTTTTCCTTGAAGACGTTTCACTTCTCATCCAAGAAGCTCTGAGCTGAAGAAGCTTCTTGGATGAGAAGCGAAATGTCTTCAAAGAAAAAAACAGAAAGTCCAGTTGCCTCTTGAAAAAGCACCTTTGGGACAACTGTGACCTTGGATGATTGAGAATCTTCATAGACCTTGGAAGAAGAAGTTCTGAAGAAGCTTCTTGGATGAGAAGTGAAATGTCTTCAAGGAAAAACCAGAAAGTCCAGTTGCCTCTTGAAAAAAGCATCTTTGGCTCAACCATGACCTGGATGACAGAGAATCTCCATAGGTTTTCAGCTATACAATTTGGGATGGACATGTGGGAGTAGGAATGGATTTCCAGAGGAAAAAATTGCAGACTACAGGAACCATCTGCACCACTCAGGTGACTTTGAGGACACAGATAAACCTCCAGGTGGCCTCAACGACCCTCTAAAAGGATGCAAATGACCAGCCGTCTGCAAGGAGTATAAATCCTTCCGTTCCCCACTGTCCAATCAGAGCTGAAGAAGCTCCTTGGATGAGGAGCGAAACGTCTTCCAAGAAAAACCAGAAAGTCCAGTTGCCTCTTGAAAAAAAGGCACCTTTGGGACATCCATGGCCTAGAGGACTGAGAGTCTCCACGGGCACCACTGATGTTATTTTACACAGACCCTGTTCCCAGAAAGACACGGCATTCTCGAAGTCAAGTGGGTGCGAGCAACAATGTCAATTCCCCAGCTTGTCTCGGGCCCACTACTCACGTTTTTGAGGGGGTCAGCGGCAGCAGATAACTCCCGGAGAACATCCCGAAGCCTCTCTCCACTTCGGCCACACAGCACCAGTTGGGATCCCGCGGCATGGAAAGCTTTGGCGCATTCTAGCCAAGAAAACAGGAGGAGAGAGTTGTACGTGTGTGTGAGAGAGAGATCTGTTTGACTGTAAGCCTGGGATGCCCATTCTAACCTGATGCCCTTTAGAGGGGGTGGACTACAGATAGCCCTCGGCTTGCAACGTTAGAACAGCACTGATCAAAGTGACACGACTGGTTTTCAACGGAAATTTGGGCTCAATTGTCGTCGTAAGCCAAGGACTACTGCACCACTTTTAGAAGCTTTTGCTATTGGCCTTTTTGGATGGATCCAACAGGAGCCAGCCTGCCCGCAAACCATGTTTTGAATTGATTCCAGTCCTGCTAACTGGAGCGACAGTACTTCTTTCTTGACAAAAATTAAAAAAAGGTATTTTATGAAGGCAAAAGTGTATATCGCCCATGCTTATGTAAGTGTTTGAGAAGATAAACATCCCGGGGAAACAATGACCTAATTTTAGCATCTGTCTCCCAGAGAAAAAAAAATCTGCATTTTTTTTTTAAAGAAAGAGTGGCAAAGAGGTTTTTTAATTTTTTAAACTGGACTGCAAGATTAAAAAAAAAAAAATCAAATTCCCCTCCACAAATAAAAGAATGCAAAACATTTTATTTCCCCCCTGGCCATCTGAAGCCAGCTCTTTCCCAATGATCTTGGATTCCTGCCCCTCGATGCAACGCACAGACTAGATTACCATCCTGTGCTAAGCCACGATTTGCTCTCTCGTGCTTGGTTCATCAAGCCACCAATGGCTGGGTTGACTTGACTTGCTCAGCTAGAAACGAGCCAACTATGTGTTGGTTTAGTCTGCAGCACCAATCAAATTATGGAAAAGCACAGGAGATATGTCCCTCCTCTTTGGCAGGAGAGCAAAGTTTCAGGAGAAAACCCTTACCTTTCCCCAGTCCAGAAGTTGCCCCTGTTATCACTACTACTGCGTCCTTCAGGTAGGCCCTTGCCTGGATTTTCCTGACCAATCGCAAGATAGTGAAGATCCCTACGCCACCCAAAATCAGTGGAAGAAGGATCCCGGTGGTGAAATCCATGAACTTTTGATTTCTCCTGGAGGAGCAGAAAGGAATGGGGGGGAAAAAAAAGGCACGTGGAATAGATTGATCGCTAACCCTTTTAAGTCAAGAATTCCCAACCTTGTCAACTTCAAGACGGGTAGATTCCAACTCCCAGAATTTCCCCAGCCAGCGTGTTAAAATTATGATTAGTGTAAAATTTAAGATTTCAAATCTAGCCATCGTCGAGGTTAGCTTCGTCACGCCCCATGCATTCCTTTAATTTCATTTGCAAAACTCGCTTAGATTCTTAAGCAAAGTGCAATGCCAATCATTAAACAAAGCAGCCTATAAGAGTGTTTGAATAATAATAATAATAATAATAATAATAATAATAATAATAATAATAA